GGGGTCTACTCAGAGCGAATCCCTTAGCCTTATCCTTGTAAAATACCTAGGGAACCATTTAGAATTAAAGGGTAAAACAATGTGTACGTACAGTGAGAGATAAACCAAACTTGTCAACTGTTAAGAGCTGTTGAAATTCAAGGAAGTTCTGGGAATTTTTTTTAAAAACTATTTTGGTCACTTTTTTGTAAACTTGAAATTATTTTAAAATTTAAAGATGTGTGTGTGTGTGTGTTGTGGATCCATTTGAGTGTGTTCCCACCATTTGTTTTGGGCTTGCAATTCAAACCTTAAAAGTATCCTTAGTGACCTCTGAGACACTTTGACTTCTAATTTTAAAAATAGGCCAAGGTCACAACTCTTAGTCAAGCACAACGAAGGTTTAGCAATGCTGTCTATGTACGAATACTGGCTACGTGAATTTCTTTTCCCCACCAGCACTACAAACTTACCAAATCCTAACCTCTCTTTACCACAATTATGCTGGGCGTAAAACCTATCCACAGAATTGCCTTCCAAGTGCTGCACAGGTCTTCGAGTCAGGATCTAGTGCTTGGCATTTTCCCCCAAAACTTGTTTATTGGCTCTCTAAGGAAAGGGGGTTAAGAAACATCTCGTGGGAGAAGATGGACTAGGAACCTGAAGGATGTGTTTTAATTTTTTTACTTAAAGCTGAAACGTTTTATGGAACAAGGCAAGGGCACCAAAAAAAAAAAAAAAAAATCCTTATACTCCCAAGAAGTCCACAAATTGTGTTCCAGAGAGAAAAAAAAAAAAATCCCAGTGGCGACTGGGGGGAAAGACACTAAGATTAAACAAATAAATCAACGGGTAGAAAAGTTGCAAGGCGTCTGGATAACTTCTGGCATAAGGCAGACGACCTTGTTTCTCTAACAACCTAAACTGTAAGCTAGGCGACCTACAGGCTCCCTAAGTTACCGACTTGGACCTGGTCAGCCTCCACCGGCTGTTCCCTCACAGCGCTCAGCCAAACGATGGTTTTTCTCGGTAAGCCCTCAGAAAACAGACAAGTGGTAAACTTTATCACCACGGGGAACAAACAGCGAGAACTTCCCACTACCCAGGGCTCCCTGGCTCCCGAGCCATCAGTCTGCAGCTTCTCCAGACTGACTCCCAGGCTGGGCCCCCCGGACGAGCAGCCGAGCAGGAGTGGGCGTCCGCGCCGCCCCTCCCCCGTGTCGTGGGCAGTGGGCGTCCGGGGCAGCCTCCGGGAGCCCGGGTTTCGAACTCTTCCCCGAGAGGCTCCGCGGCGGCGCCTGACACCCTAGGGCCGCAAAGGAGCCAGCAGCCCCAAAGTGCCCCGCAGGAGCCAGGGTCGTGGGAACCCCGGCTGGGGGAGGGCGACCCGGAGAGGTCAAGGGCGGCGGCTGCAGAACTTTGACCTGGGTCTCAGACACTCTCCCGGCCTGTCTGCAGGACTGGTGGGAGCCCGTGACCTCCGCCAGACAGGGTCAGCAGGCTGCGGCTCGGGGGTCACCTGCTCGGCCCTTCCTGCCGGGACTCACCGCCCGCCGGAGCTGCCCAGGCGCCGCCGCTCGGAACATGGTCTCAGTTCTAGTCAGCCCAGCTGTACCCTCGGCCTCAGGGACCCGGAGCGCGCGGGAGCCGCCGCCGCCGGAGACGCGAACGCTCGCGAGACGCGAGAACGAGAGCGGACGGCCCAGGCCAGGAATGCGGGCTCGCGCGTCCCGCTGGCTCATTGGGCGGTCACGCAGCCAATGAGGAAAGCGGAAAGTTAGAGGCGGGACTTGGGAGTAGGGCAAAGGTAAGGGTGTGGACAGACGCGCTGGCAGCGGCTGGTCTCCTTCTGTCGCAGGCCTGCAGTGGTGACATTGTCTGGACTAACTGGTCAGCTGGCCGCAGCTTTCCAGCCGTGCAGAAGACCCCTCGCTCCATTCATTCTTTTCCTCGCTCATTTATTCACGGTATCAGCTCTGCACCTGTAATGTGCCAGAGTAAGAGAATTTAAACGTGCATTAGGTGTCCTGCCCTGAAGACCTTACAGAACTCCGGGAAATATGCAAACAAAAAAAAAAAAAGCCTATTATAAATGATATAAATAAATTAGTCGTCGCTACTAGCAGGGAAGGGTCTGTTGAGTTGACGATATTTGAGCTGGACTGAAGATCCCTGTCAGGCTTGTGGAGCTGCAGGGAGAAGGAGGAAGAATGGCTGGAGGTCTCACCAGCAAGCTGGGGTCTGATTCCAGTGAGGGTGGTATAACATGAGGTCCACCCTGATCTTCTCCCCACTTTCTCCTGTCCTTGGGCAGCCCCACTTCCACCCCCTGGCATCAATGCCCGGGGCTGTTAAAATCTCTCTCGCTCTTTGGATCTACCAATCTATCTGCCTTCTGGACTTCTCAAGATGTCCCCTAAAACTCAAGCCCTACCTCACAGGGTGTATTTCACCCTTAAGAGCTGGTTTATTCACTAAGATCCTCCCCACTCCCCTGCAAGGAGTCGTATCTTCTTCACTGTCCTTGTTTTTTTGTGAAACCAGGTGAGAACCCGTCTTATACAAGACCACCCTTGCAGAGGACTGGGACTGTGCCCACCCTGTGAAGCTGGCCCCTTGAGGAACTGTGATCAGTTTCTCCTTGCAACACAACCCCAAACTTGGCTCAAATCTAAGTACAATTGAAAGAAGAAAAAAAAAAGCATACTTTAAGTTTTTTTTTTAAAAAAGATATTTTTATTGAAAAAAGATTTTAATTGAGACATGAACTACCTCCTTCCTGCCTTCATGACAAGGCAAAACACTAAAGAGGAGAGAATCTCCCCCACCCCCCCACCCCGGGATGGCTCTGGCACATCCCAGGCGCCAGTGAATCAGCAGCAGCTGTGCCCAGCAGAGGCACAATGCCCATGGGACATGATAGTTCCGGGCAGAGCAGCGGCAGTGCAAAGGAAGACAGAGAAAATGGCCCTCCTCTGTAACAAATAACCAGACTCACTGTGAGGACAGAAGAATGTCCTTGAAGAGCTTCAGGAGGGAGGGCACAGATAGATATGTTTCTACATTTACATGAATGTCAAGTACCAGAGACATGTGTATGTGAAGACTGATGTTACCCAGGATAGCCAAAACAATCTTATACAATAAAGGAGCGTCTGGAGGCATTACCATCCCTGACTTCAAACTACTACACAGCTACATTATTGAAAACAGCCTGGTATTGGCATAAAAACAGAGAAGTCAACCAATGGAATCGAATAGAAGACCCTGACATTAACCCACAAACCTATGAACACCTGATTTTTGATAAAGGAGCTAAAAGTATACAATGGAAAAAAGAGAGCATCTTCAACAAATTGTGCTGGCAGAACTGGATGTCAACCTGTAGAAGAATGAAAATAGACCCATATCTATCACCATGCACAAAACTCAAGTCCAAATGGATTAAAGACCTCAGTATCAGTCCAAACACAATGAACCTGATAGAAGAGAAAATGGGAAGTACTCTACAACACATTGGCACAGGAGACCACTTCCTACGTATAACCCCGGCAGCACAGACATTAAGGGCCTCATTGAATAAATGGGACCTCCTGAGACTGAGAAGCTTCTGTAAAGCAAAGGACACTGTCACTAAGACACAAAGACAACCCACTGACTGGGAGAAGATCTTCACCAACCCTGCAACTGACAAAGGACTGATCTCCAAAATATATAAAGAACTCAAGAAACTAGACGGTAAAAGGCTACTCAGCCCAATTACAAAATGGGGCACTGAGCTGAACAGAGAATTCTCAACAGAAGAAGTTCAAATGGCCATAAGACATTTAAGGAAATGCTCAACTTCCTTAGCGATCAGGGAAATGCAAATCAAGACAACTTTAAGATACCATCTTACACCTGTCAGAATGGCTAAAATCAAAAACACCAATGATAGCCTATGCTGGAGAGGTTGTGGAGAAAGGGGTACACTCATCCATTGCTGGTGGGAATGCAAACTTGTGCAACCACTCTGGAAGGCAGTGTGGCGGTTTCTCAGGAAATTCGGGATCAACCTACCCCTGGACCCAGCAAACCACTCTTGGGAATATACCCAAGAGAGGCCTTATCATACAACAAAAATATATGCTCTACTATGTTCATAGCAGCATTGTTTGTAATAGCCAGAACCTGGAAACAACCTAGATGCCCTTCAATGGAAGAATGGATGAAGAAAGTAAGGAATATATACATATTAGAGTACTACTCAGCAGTAAAAGACAAGGACTTCTTGAAGTTTGCATACAAATGGGTGGAAATAGAAAACACTATCCTGAGTGAGGTAAGCCAGACCCAAAAAGAGGAACATGGGATGTACTCACTCATTGTTGGTTTCTAGCCATAAACAAAGGACATTGAGCCTATAATTAGTGATCCTAGAGAAGCTAAATAAGGAGAACCCAAAGAAAAACATATAGTCATCCTCCGGAATATTAACCTTCATCGGGCCATGAAAGGAGGCAGAGATAGTGACCCACATTGGAGCACCAGACAGAAATCTCAAGGTCCAAATCAGGAGCAGAAGGAGAGAGAGCACGAGCAAGGAACTCAGGACCACGAGGGGTGCACCCACACACTGAGACACTGGGGATGTTCTATCGGGAAATCACCAAGGCCAGGTGGCCTGGATCTGAAAAAGCCTGGGATAAAACCGGACTCGCTGAACATAGTGGACAATGAGGACTACTGAGAACTCAAGAACAATGGCAATGGGTTTTTGATCCTACTGCACGTACTGGCTTTGTGGGAGCCTAGGTAGTTTGGATGCTCACTTTACTAGGCCTGGATGGAGGTGGGTGGTCCTTGGACTTCCCACAGGGCAGGGAAACTTGATTGCTCTTTGGGCTGATGAGGGAGGGGGTCTTGATTGGGGGAGGGAAAGGGAAATGGGAGGCAGTGGCAGGGAAGAATCAGAAATCTTTAATAAATAAATAAAAATTAAAAAAAAAAAGACTGATGTTAGGACCTTGCTCCCTATCAGTGCTGGGAAACTTGTCTTTCCCTCTCTGTTATGAGATGTTTTGGAGGCAGGAGGCGTAGTTCCCGTTAGCTGGTTTGTATGTGGTTGCTATTTATAGAAATAACTATACAAAGAACAAAGGAAGGAAGAGAGCGAAAGGAGGGAGGAGAGAAAAGTTACTTTGAAGACTTGACTACTCGTTTAGGCACGGCCCCTCCGGGATTCCTGGTGGAAAACAGAAATTCGTGGGACACTCTGGCTGGGAACCACCCTTGACGCTCATTGTCTCCTCCCTCTGCAGCACCTCCACTGAGCCTGCGCTAACTGGGTGCCTCATAGGCTGATGACCAAAGTCCATGACCACCAGGCCTTTCTCAAGCCAGGGTTACTGTAGTGTATGCGATGCCTCTTAGATTGCTATTGATCAAGATGGCGGCCTTCCTTCCTGACTTCTGGGTCCTGCTCGTAAGTGCCCAGAGTTCCCAGATGGCAGCTGTAGCTCAGTAGAACTTGTCAGGTCCAAAGGAAACTCAGCGCAAGTGGCTAACTGTGGTGCCTGTTAGCACACCAGAGTGTCTGCTGGCCTCCAGGCTCACTCAGCACCTGTGGCTCCCCTCAGTTCTTCTCCCTCTTCCCCCTCCCACTGAACTGCTCCAGCTCCTTGGCTTCCTTCCCCCATTGTCTCATTCCACCCTGCCATTTTGGCCATGAACCCTCTTGATACTCTTCTCGGTTGTCTGTCTGTCTGTCTGTCTGTCTGTCTGTCTGTCTGTCTCTCTCTCTCTCTCTCTCTCTCTCTCTCTCTCCATTGCCCCTGGCCCATGGCACAGTTCGGTCTACTGTCCATGTTTCATCTCTCACATTCTCTCCCTGCTCTGGCCTCTTCCAGATGCCTCAGGCTGTGCTCTCATATCTACAGTAAAAACCCTCCTCTCAGCCATGCCTCCCAGCAGTCATGTCCTCGCTTACTATATCTGGTGCCAAAATGGCAGGGTTATATGGGAATGATGAAATGACATGCTGGGGGAAGGGAAGCCCAGGAGCTGGAGCAGTTCATTGGGGGAGGGGGAAGAGGGAGAAGAACTGAGGGGAGCCACAGGTGCTGAGTGAGCCTGGAGGCCAGCAGACACTCTGGTGTGCTAACAGGCACCACAGTTAGCCACTTGTCCTCCCTTTCCATTGGACCTGACAGAATTTTTGTTGTTGTTGTTGTTTGTTTTCATTTGTTTGTTTTTCGAGACAGGGTTTCTCTGTGTATCCCTGGCTGGTGTGGGACAATGGTATCTATTCTGTCAATTGTATTTTAAATAAATGCTGATTGGCCAGTAGCCAGGCAGAAAATAGAGGTGGAACAACCGGACAGGAAGTAGAGGCGGGTCAATGAGAACAGGTAATTCTAGGAAGAAGGAAGTCCTAGTCTGCAGTCCTGATCCGGCCACAGAAGAAGCAAGATGTGATTGCCTCAACGAGAAAGGTACCAAGCCACGTGGCTAACATAGACAAGAATAATGGGCTAATATGAGTTATAAAAGTTAATAAGCCTGAGCTAATGGGCCAATCAGTTTATAACTAATGTAGACCTCTGTGTGATTTCTTTGGGGCTTAATGATTGCGGGAACTGGACAAGACAGAAAACCCCAGTCAACACCTGGCCATCCTGGAATTCCCTTTGTAGACCAGGCTGACATAGAACTCAGAAATCTGCCTGCCTCTGCCCCCTGATTCAAGAGATACTTGACACTCTGAAAGATGTACCCCAGTCCTTGTAAGGTCCTGCCTACAGGCTCTGCTTTAAGTGAGCCCTCAGCATGTCGGTCTGCTTATCTATCAAAATAGCAGCATCTGGATTACAGAATGTGTTTGGGGATACAGTGATTTTTGATTTGTTTCTGTGGGACCCTGCAGAAAATTACAACAAGCTCAGCTGGCCCCACTTTTCACTCTCATTCTGTTCGGGCCACCAGCCCATGGGATAGTGCTACCTCGTTCAGCGTGGGTCTTCACCCTTTAGTTAAACCTCTCTGGAAACTCCCTCACAGAACTGCCGTGAGGTCCAGCTCCTAGGTGATTCTAAATCCATGTGTCGTTAGTGCCAGCACAGCCTGGGTAATGACAAAGGCTGGCTGAGTGAGCTAGTCTAGGCATTGTTGTCTTGACGACTTGGTTCTTCTACCAAGATGGATTCTTCCATTCGCTCGTCTTCATGTCTCTGTCCCAAACCTTCTTGTCCCTGGCCTTCCAGTCCTCTAGCCTCTGCTCCTCTAGGAGCATACCTTTCTGAAGTTCTAGCTCTTGAAGCATCTCCGTTCACGACCGTCTTTCAAAACTGTGCCCTAGTACGGCTGTAGTGCACCTGCTATGTTCAGTCCACATTCACATACTGAAAGACTCCCCCTAAGCCACATAAGGGATTTCTCCTCTTGCTAGGAGGTTTTAAAGGGCTCTTCTTAAAGCTATAGTGTTTCCTGGGACTGGTATAGCAGTGCTCATGGGGACTAGGACACCAGCCTTGCACATTGCTGTGCCTTCTGCTTCTACTTGTACTCATTCCTAAATATACCAGTTCTTCCCTAGAATGGGTTGCTTCAACCTACCTGATATTATGATTTACTGGCCTTATGGATTCCACCTCATGATAGTGAATGCCCGACCTTTGGTCACTTGATGCCCTATAATTAAGCCTAGTATTACACCAGAAGATTGTTTGTTGTTATTTAATGATGTTTTTGTTTTATGTTTTGAAGGTCTGTAAATCTCTACTTCAGATGTCGTGATTTGGCACATACCACAGGGGGTTGGGTGATGACACTCCAGAGAGTTTGCCATAAAATCTTGATGGAAACATGAACAGCCAAGTAGCAGGACTGTCTGTACTGCAACCTAGATCCCCTGCGCTGAGCTCACGCACATCTGCCAGCCTTCTGTGTCACCTCGTATGTGAGTTGGGACAGTATTTTCAGGTGTAGAACACACTGACTGTATTTAGAGCCCAGAGAAGGTTATCAGGCATAGGGTTCCTTCTTCATCTTGGGAAGTACAAGGTGTAATATTTATCTTTTCATTTGGATGGGATAGCCTAGCATGCTCCTGTCTTTGGACCCCTAAGTATCTTACGGCGCAGCGAGTCCCTGAATCTTTAGAGCAGAGGTTCACAATCTTTGGGTCACAACCATTTCATAGGGTCTCATATTAGATATCCTGCATATCAGATATTTACATTATGATCCATAACTAGTAAAATGACAATTATGAAATAGTAATGAAATAATTTTATGGCTAGGGGTCACCCCAACATGAGGAACTGTATTAAAGGGTTCCAGCATTAGGAAGGTTGAGAACTGCTGCTTTAGAGGGTTTGCACACACACACACACACACACACACACACACACACACACACACACGTTGAAGGATCTGTGTCAGATGAATGTCTCTAATGTGCTCTCCTCTTTTTGCCCATCTGGCTGAATTAGAATGATGTCATGAATGTGGTGGTTCAACGTTCTGTAGTGTGTCCAGATGGTCTAGATCTCTTCAGGCTGTTATGACAGATGCTAAAAGTTAGCATAGCCCTGGGGCAAGACTGTAATATAGTGTTGCTTATTGTACTTGGATGAAAACCGTTTTGAATCTGCTTTTCTCACAGGGCTAGAACGCACTTGCCAAATCAGTGACCACTAAAATGGATTTGCTGCTATGTTCATCTCCTCTGGTAAAGATGCCAGACTAGGTGTGGTGACTGCTGGACAACTACCGCTTGAATGGGTTTGGCTGCTCTGCTATCAGTCATTATCCTCCAGGTTCAGTTTGGTTTCTTCAGGGACAACACTGCTGATGGAAATGTGAAATGACCCATAAAGGTTACATTCTGATGTTTGTTTTATGGCATATCGTCAAGGAGATCTTTCGTTTTATATGTGGGTCTTGATTGACTATTAACAATCCCTAGTCTCCTGTAACATTTTTATAGAACAGCCTAACTACCCCTCGAGCTATTTTATTTGTAGTTACTATTCTCTCCCCCCCAAATATCTTGAAATGTCTAGCATGTTACATACCAGGAGCACACTCCAGTTCAACACTCATATAACCTCTAGCAGGTGAAGTACCATCATACGCTAAAGGTATCTGTGTTCCAGTTACCAGATGTTGTGGGATTCTCAGTGCCATTGCACCAAAAAAAATATACATCAGAAGCCCCATCTTGTATTGCTTGCTTTTTCTGACAGTTTTGTACTCTGGTTTTTCTAGAAAGCAGAGTCCGAAAAAAGACTAAAGTACATATCAAGCTATGCTCTAGGATCCATTTGAGTGTTAGGGATGTAGTAGAAGCAGAATTGGGCAGAGGGAGAAGCTGGGATAGTTAGTAAGCTGAGCAATAATCCAGAACAACACAAGTCATCCTGTTGTTGAACTAGATAGCAAGACATTGTCTATCCATGCTGAAAGATGTATGTGTACATTACAGACCAAACACTTACTACAATAGACTTCATAGACCAACCATCAGAAGAACTAGAGAAATGGCCATGGACTGGAGAGATGGCTTAGTGGTTAAGAGCAGGCAATGCTCTTTCAAAGGACCCAAGTTTGATTCTAAGCACCCAAGTCAGGCAGTTCACAGCTGCCTGTAATGCCAGCTTCAGGGGGAAACTGATACCTCTGTGGGCACCTGCACTGATGTGCACACACCCCATAAATACATGCACATAATTAAAAATAATAAAAATACATTTAAAAAATTATGTTTAAGGACAGAAATCACATGATCATCTCAACAGATGCAGAAAAGCTCTTTGACAGAGTTTAGCATCCCTTCATAGTAAAGTCCTGGAAGAAACGATGAATAAAGGGAACAGAGTCAACATAATAAAGGCTGTATGTGACACACCTATAGTCAGCATTATTAAATGGGAAAATGGGAAGACTTCCTTAAAAATAAGGAACAGGATATTGTAGTAGGAGTAGCGGGCTGCATTCCTGCCCAGTTCTCGCACTGCTAGCTTTATACCTGAAATAACAAAACACAAATTGTATTCTTTTAAACACTGCCTGACCCATTAGTTCTAGCCTCTTATTGGCTAATTCTCACATTAGCTTTAACCCATTTCTAATATCTGTGTAGCACCACGAGGTGTGGCTTACCAGGAAAGATCTTAACCTGCGTCTGTGTTGGATGGGAGCATCATGGCGACTGCTTGACTCGGCTTCTTTCTCCCAGCATTCTGTTCTGTCTACTCCACCTACCTAATTTTCTGTCCTATTAAAGGGCTAAGGCAGTTTCTTTATTTAACCCATAAAATCAACACAAAACAGAAGACTCCCACATCAGGATATGAATGACTGCTCTTGTTGCTCTTATTCAATTTAGTGTTTATTGTTTTCAATACATCAATAAGACAAGAGAAAGAACTCTCAAATTTGATAAACACCTTTGGCAAAGTTGTAAAGCACAAAAGCCAAGTTATAAAAACAAAACAGTAGTTTTCTATATGTCATTAATAAATTTTCACAAAAAATCCCAATTCACAATAGCCTTAACATATGTAGAAATAAGCCTAACAAAAGAGTTATAGAACTCCTCAATGAAATCTTTCGGGCTCCAAAGAAACAAGACACTAGAAGATGCACAGACTGAGGTCCTCTGAAAGTGGCTGCTACTGAAAGTACCAAGCAAATTCAATGCATTCTCCATCCAAATCCAAGTGATATCTCTACAGAATTAGTGAACCAAAATTCAAATAGGAGCATGAAAGGCCCTAAAGAGCAAAACCAATCGTAAGCAGAAAACACAGTGCTGGGTATATCATGATGCCTGGTCTCAAAACAGCTTGTGAGCCAGAGTGGCCATGAACCACAGTAGTGGTTCAAAAACAGATATGCCGGCCAACGCAGTGGAATAGACGCCCAAAAGAAACGCACACAACCACAACCATAAAGCTGTCAAAGATGTGAATCCAACAACCTCCTCAACAAGTAGAACTGGATAGCCTTGTGTACGGGAATGAAACAAGATCCTTATCTCCCTCTTCCTCAAAACAAAAATTATTTCAGAGGCTTCAGTGTAAGTTCTGAAGTGATGAAACTTCTGGAGAACACAGATAAGACACCTGAAGATACAAGCTTAGGCAACAGCTTCTGGAAAAGGACTCCAGGAGCACAGGACGCAATCCCAAGACTCTACAAAAGGAGAGAGACGAAGTCAAAAAGCCTGTGCACAGCAAAGGAACGAACACCACTGCTCATGGCATGGGAAAGAACTGGGGCTTGGGTTTAGCTAAGTAACAGAGCTCTTGATTCACAGCCCCACAACCCCAGTTCAGTCCCCAGTGCTGCAATAACAAAGCCCAGCAACAAGCAAGCAAACCAAAACAAAGAGAAAAGATCTTTGGCTACTAGCTATATATAAAGCTAGACCAGGAATTGATATTTAGAATAGATGTGAACCACAAAAATCAAACAATAAATGGACTAATGAATGGATAGACTATTCTGCAAAGATATACAAGCAACAGCCTTAGCCATTATGAAAATACAAATTAAAAACATCCTGGATCAGTGGGTGGTGGCCCCTTTAATCCCAGCACTTGGGAGGCAGAGGCAGTGAATTTGAGGCCAGCCTGGTCTACAGCAAGAGCTCCTGGACAGCTAAGAGTACACAGAGAAACCCTGTCTCAGAAAAACAAAAGATAACAAAAAAAAATGCTTTGGAATTCTATCTCACCTCAGTCAAATGGTTATTACAAAGGAAACAAAGGACAATGAATACTGTAGGGAAAGAGGAGTCGTGATTCACTGCTGGGAAGAATGTATACTGGTGCAGCCACTATGGAAATCAATACGCGATTGCTTCCAAACTAAAAGTGTAACTATAATATAACCCAGCTATTCCACTCTCGCATACCAGCTCAAAGGACGTTAAATCAGGATACCATAGAGATACTTATCCACTCATGCTCATTGCTTCCCTACTCACAATAGCCAGGAATGGAACCAGCGTAGATGTCCGTCAGCAAATGGATAAAGAAAAAGTGGCACATATACACAATTGAATTTTATTCAGCTGTAATGAAAACGAAATCATGATATTTGAAGGAGAACATGTGGAACTGGAAGTCATTACATTAAGGAAAATAAACCAAACTCAGACAAGCACAGCATTTTCTGTCATGTATAAAACCTATATTTAAACATATGGGCGGGGAGGACTGGCAAAATCATGAGAAGGCAAAATCTTAAGGAGCTGGGGAGTGGCAGCATTATTCATAATAGTCAACAAGGGGAAACAGTGCTCTTCAACTGACAAATAGACAGAGTGAGATACAGCCATAAAGTGAATAATATGTCGTGAAGTACTGATACCTGGTGCAACACAGATGAAAAGATTGTGCTAATAGTATGGTTCGCCTCAGTGGTCAACTTGATGCAAACCTAGAGTCATCTGGGAAGAGGATTCTCAGTGGAAAGACTTCCCTCCATCGCATTGGCCTGTGGCAGGTCAGTGGAGCATTTCCCAACTGCTAACTGACCCAGGGTGGTCCAGCCCACTGTGGGCTGTGCATCCATCCTCAGCCGGGCGGTGGTGGCACACGCCTTTAATCCCAGCACTCAGGAGGCAGAGGCAGGCGGATCTCTGGGAGTTCGAGGCCAGCCTGGTCTACAAGAGTTAGTTCCGGGACAGGCACCAAAGCTACAGAGAAACCCTGTCTTGAAAAACAAAAAAAAAAAAAAAGAAAGAAAGAAAGAGGGGGGATGGAGGGATGGCTCAGAGGTTAAGAGCATTGGCCACTCTTCCAAAATACCGGGGTTCATTTCCCAGCACCACATGGTGGCTTACAACCAATATAACTCCTGTTCCAGGGGATCTGGTACTCTCGCCTGGTCTCACCAGGCACTGCATGTACAGGGAATGCAGACACACGTGCAGGCAAAGCATCCATACGTTACAGTCACCACTGTCTCTCATCCATACATTACACTCCACTCCTGTCTATCTGTAAGAGTCTGGTTAGTTACAATTCACTCCTATGGCTGCTCCAGAATGTCTGGATAAGACGGAGGCTCAGAGGTTTGTCTAGAAGCTCTGTTTGCACAGCACAACCAACCTACTGTTTTTACTAAGCTTTCGGAAGCGCATGACGACTCCATGGTCCTGTTTCCAGGTGGTCCTTCCTTCAATTTGCTGTGGCCTAGAGAGAAATAGATATGGATTCCTTCTATTTCCATGCTCATGTGTGTTCTCAACAAGAGTTACTTTGCTTTTCTAAAAACAGGGCATGAGAATGGGCTTACCTTCTGGCGACTTCTGCCAATAGGACTCCTTTATTTGATCTGAAAATACGCACAGGTGCTTTCCGCTGTGCCACGTGCAGACGCTCGGCTCGGCTCCACCACCACCACCACCACCACCCCCCGCCCCCGTGTGTTGTCATCTCTCTGTTTGAAAAGCTTGACCGTGAAACCAAGCCTTTATAGGCTATGCAAACAGCTCCCCTTGGTGTATTTTTAATAATTGTGAATCTTATTATTGCCAGATGTTGAAATCCCGAATGGTAACAGAGCGACAGACTTAAAGCTGAGGTTGTTTGAGTGAGTGGGAGAAATGTAATGACTCTGTTCTCTCAGAGAGAGCAGGTGCCTGCCCCGGGTGTGCATCCAGTGTTTTCTGGGTTCAGCTGAGGGGTCCACACAGGTTTCTCAGTCTCGTTGGCGTTCTATTCAGAGTAGTAAATGGTAGGAGGGGGAGGCCCGCACCTTCTGCACAGGCTGTGGGTGAAAATGTGTGCTGGTGTGTAGTGTTACTTGCCGGGTTGCCCGTTCATTACCATGACAACACGCCTTTGGGGGAAATGCCCAAAAAGAAGAAAACTGTGCTGGAGATTTTAGAGGTCATAGTGCATAGCCTGTTGGCTCCTTTGTTTGGGGGTTGTGGTGTGGCGAAGATGGAATTGTGGCACAGAGACAGAATTGTGCTC